CAGACCGGTTCCCGCTCACTGGCTGAGCGAGGCATGGGGGCAACGCCGAGGGTTGCAATCCTGTTGCCGGTCCCCGGTCCGGTGCGGGCGCGACACTGAGGGTTGTGATCCATTGCCGGACATGGAAAAAGACAAAAGACTAAAGACAAAAAAAAAAAAAAAAGAATAAGGCCTCAGGAAAAATCTCCTTAAATTCCTAATTAGCATCTGGGTAAATAATGATATGATGTTGTACATCCTTCCCCTCCCAGCTGTGAAGCTAAAGTAGCAGCTTCGGGGCTGGTCTCCAGGACTCAGAAATGTGCTGCTCAGAGGGGCCAGGATGGTGAAGTAACCCCATGGTCTCTAGCCGCCACCCTTGAGGCCTTGCTGCCCCCCAGCTGACAGTCTCCTGAGTTTCACAGTCTGGATCCTTCTAGGGCAAGCAATCTGTATTGTTGTTGGAGGATGACTGTGGTTCTTTTCAGTGTACAGATTGGCAGAATGATAAGTCTATCACAGTGGAACCAAAGCAGTACACAGGCTCTGGCTTTCCCCAGTTGGTCTCACCATCAATGTCAAGGAGTTCCAGTACTCAGTTTTTCTTGGGCTAGGCAGTAGGTCTCTCAGGAGGCATTCAGGCCCTTGAGTTAGTACAAGGCATCCAGCATGATCTGCAGGACTGGGATATCACTCTAGGTAGAGCCTGCTGAACCCTGCCTTGCTATATACTGGCAGCCCTGGTGGCCTCAGCTCCCCACTCTTAACAGAAACTCAGAATGTCTGTTTTCTGTGGCTTTGGTTCTTTGCAGGAAGGAGTGCAGTGCTTCCTAAGTGCTGAAGAAGTGATCTGAGATTAGAGAATGCTGAAAACTGTCCCCAGGTCAGGTGCATCCTTACCAGTGGATCAGAAATGGATCCTTGGTGGCACTTCTGAGCAGTGAATAATTGGGGGTAGGAGCAAATTTATGTTTTATCTCAAATTCATGTGAATTTTGCATTATTCTTCATAATGTATCTTTATTCTAATATAGGCAAAATGTAAATTGCTGTCTTCAAGTAAAAATGGATACTTTAAGAATAAATGAGGGGCATCTTCCTATGATGCTGGCAACCTCTCTCATTCTCCCCCAATGTGAGAAACAGAAACTTAGTACTGAGGCATTTCAACAAAAAGCAGCTGTTTACATGAACAGCTTACTCTCAAGAGATAACTCAATAACATTACTCAATTGTAAAATTAGCCCCTGTCACTACCAAAAGCCCTGTAACGTCTAGAGGGGAAAGCATAGATGAGGCACCTTCTGGGAAGAAAGTAGCCATCAGGAAAGGCCAGAGCACGGTAGCCCTCAGAGCAAGCAGGGCTTCTGACCAGAACAAATTCAGTTTTACTGAATACAAACATATCATCTGTCTAATAATAAACCATTGAGTAACAGATCTTGATTTCTTATAAAAGGATATGACCACGACTGAAACAGTATAGTCGTGTTGAGGGTTGAGAAAGAAAGCTGAAAAAAAAACGCTCATTTTTAAAAAGATGTTTGATGTCTCTCAAAAAAGCCATTTTCATCACAACTATATTATTTAAGAGTTAGGGTATTATTTGATATTAACATGTTTTATAAGTATCTTTTTAAGTGAAAAAACTGTTCTGATTATTTAATTATAGTATCCTAAATTATCCTAAATTTCTGTTTATTACTTAACATTAATGGAAGTTAGTTGTTCCATGCTGTCAAGGGTAACTCGGTAGAGTTATTGGATAATCTCAGGGGTATTTAAAATAGAGAAAAGGAAAGGACTGTGATTTTGACAGCTGTTTTTTTATGCACTGAAACAACATAATACGTAACATTCTAGGGCATAACAATGCATTTGCATTTACAGAGTTCAGATATTCAAAGTAAGTAGTACCTAGATGGACCAACTTCATTATGTTAGGAAATAAATTCCAATTTTTGTCTTCCAACTTAGCAAACTTTATATAG